ATCTGGTGGAGAGGATGAGGTAGGGAAGAGGAAAATTGCAGAAAATCTCATTATCTGACCTAAAGTCAAATGTTTACATTTGATTCTTAGGCTAGAAATTTAATGTTAGATTTAAAAAGAGGATTTTACTATGTAGTGAAGAAGGATGCCAGGTATTTCTTAAACTAATCATAATGCCATTTTCAGTGCATCTCTCTAGGGTTGGAGAAACCAAGGTTCAGTCATGAAGTTCATCACTTCAGTTATAAGAAAAAAAGCATATTTCATGTGAGAGAGCCAAGTAAACTGACTTGAACTCCTTGTAAGCTGTTTATAATAACTTTAATCCATTTTTATTTAGAAATTTCTACTGAAGAAGAGAGAGAGATTGGTGATAAGAAAGAAACCTCTCTTTCAAAGTCTAAAAGAAAACACAAGAAGAAACATAAAGAGAGACATAAGATGGGAGAAGAAGTTATTCCACTGAGAGTTCTCTCAAAGTATGTTAAAATATACAGGATTTATTTGACATCTTATAGAACAATAGCTGGAATTTTTACTGTTTCTGGTAAAATGATGGTATGTTTGCCTGCCTGGTTGACCAGGAAGGTGAGATAACAAGCCTTTAACATTTTCTCTGATTGAATTAATGATTTGTAAAATGTTAGTGCTGTAGATGGCCAAGTAGCCTTAACCATTTAACTTGTTTTAATTTCTCAGTTGGTCCTGCAGTTCTTGTCCCATAATTTATTTATTTTTATTTATTTATCATATTTATATAGCTGCCTCTCTCACATAAAAGTGACTCTGGGCAGTGTACGACACATAATTAAAAACAATAAATACATAAAAACAGTCACAATTAAAAAATAACTATGAAAAGCACAAAACAGAGAGGATGATATTAACTACAGTAAGTGAGCCATCATACAATCTCCCCAGTTCCCTGGGACCCCAGGCCTGATAACATAGCCAGGTCTTGAGAGACTTGCAGAATGTTGAAAGGGATGGAGTTAATCTCACTTCTGCAGGGAGAAGATTCCAAAAGGTGGGTGCCACAGCAGAGAAGGCCCACCTCTTGGGACACACCAAAAGTAATTCCCTGGCAGACGGGACCCGCAGCATGCCTTCTCTGCCAGACCTGATGGGGTGGGTGGATGTAATTGGGGAGAGGCAGTCCCACAGATAACCTGGCTCCATGCCTTGAAGGGCTTTAAAGGTCAAAACCAGCATCTTGAATTGGACCCAGAACCAAACTGGCAACCAGTGCAGCTTGTGGAGCAGAGGTATAACATGTACCGCCCTAGGGCCACACATAACTGCCCGCACCGCTGCATTTTGCACCAGCTGAAGTTTCTGGGTTTATTTTATTTATTTATTAAATTTCTCACCTGCCTACCTCCCCCCAATGAGGGAACTCTGGGCGACTCACACAGAACATTAAAAACATAAATATATATAAATACATAAAAC